ATCCAAATTATGATTTTAACATGTGATCAATAGCAGAGTTTTTAATGAGCTAGTTTATATTACTTTCCATATTAACTCTTCATTTAGTACAAAATGTACAAGTATCTCAGGCCTAGCCACATCATCCATACGCCACAGCCAAGCGTGGCAAATCCGTACCACACAGATGATACACATTATCCTCTCTGTAATCATCTCAGGAGCCAAGTGTCCTTAATGACTCTTCACTTTGTGCAATCGAAATTATGAGGGATATACAATGAATTATTACTTTGCCTCCCACTGCTTTGCATTCTAAATACATCAGAAGCATTTTATCACTGCCCTGAGAAGTTGGCCCCTACAGAGTTTTAGACCATGGCACATTGGTATAAGATCCCGGCCCCACCCCCCATTCATACACACACACACACACACACACACACACACACACACACACACACACACACACACACACACCCCGTTTCAGGTTGCTGGTTTATGTACCACCCAGGATAGAGTATAACTAAGTCCATATAAAGGATAGGTTCCTGATTGCTTGCCAGCTGTTCGGTCTTACAATGCCATGCAAAAATTTTTACTACAATAATCTATGCGCCTCTGTTTAAAGAGCTGGTATAAACATCAGGTGCTCTTTAAACCAAACTCAGCAGCAGTTAGAGCCAGTTTTGTCTGGCTGGTATGGTCAGTGTTCAACTTGAGCTCTGGGCATTCCCTCTCTACCCTGCTCCTTGGCTCTCTACAGACCATGCATTTCCTGCCCACAGCTCACTAACCAACTGATAACAGAGATTAGACCTATCAACAAATATACGACCTACTTCAAAAAACAAAACCAAAACAAAACAAAAAAACTGGGATGACCAGAAAGAGAAGCTTTCTGCAGACCTCAGGAATGGTTCATGCAAGAGTTTACCTTTGGAAAACTGAAAGGATTGGAAGAGAAGAAGGTAGGAGAAAAGACCTCGGCACCCTTCTCTTCCTCATGTGGACGGGAGACACCATTTGAAAAGTTTGGCAACTACATGAGAGGAGAGAGGTCTGCAGCAGAGGCTTGAAGACAGCTTGGACAGTAGAGCTCAGATCAGATCCTAGCTAAAAGAAGGTGTATGATTGAGCCTGGGAAGACAGCAGACAGACCCCAGAGAGTGATTCACCAAACTGAGAACGCGTCAGTACTGTGTTGCACTACTGAGTTGGAGGTTGTTTACTGGACAATAACAGAACCGTGAAACTGTCGTGACAAGACGTATCAGATGGCTAATAACAAACGCTTACCTTGTACTATCTGTGAGAATAATGGGAGGGGGGTTCCTCCCTGCAAACTAATTCCAGTAGAGAGAGAGAGGCAGGTTGTATCTTGTCAAATTTAAACTACAGCATTCAGTAACATATAGGGTCCAGAACTTACTGCAATACTAACTTCTGGAAATTTTACTGCCAGACCCGGATAGGGCTAAAAAAATAATGTAAGAACCTTATATTCTTGCTTTAAAATTATACCACAAACTTGCAAATGTTTATGCTAGAAAAACTAACAAGATAATAGGTACTGGGATAAATAAAACTTCAATGAGTGTTAGGGAGATGAAAAATCAAATAAACAAAAAACACCCCAGCAGATTCCATAACCACACTTCCTAGATTTGGACCACATGGATACAGAGCCAGCGAGGAACACGTAGACCTGGAAGAGTCTCATTACCCAAACTCTAGCTGTGCTCTGCATGGACATCCCTGCCATGCACGCAATGCGGTCAGCATGTACTTTTCCTCCTCTTGACTTTGGGCCTCTGTCACCTGCTTTGGCTAGTGCGCTGTGGTGCACAGCTATCCATCCATCCTTAGGAACCAGACTATGTGGGGCTCGGACTCTTGCTCTTCTTAGGAAGAATGGTTTGCCCTCAGTGGCTCATGGTTGTGTAGGACCAGGGAGACGAGAGGTGAGTGAAGGAGCATCCCAGCTGCCCCAGCAGCTCAAGATCCGAAACAAGCGCTCGCTGTTGCATACCCCCGAGACGGAGCGTCTACCCGGCAACAGCTGACTCACACAAGGCTTCTCTATCAAAGGCTGACATCTGAGAAATACACACGGTACACTAGAAAAACAGTCCTTCTGCATATTCAAGCTACAACTAAATTTAAAAAAAAAAGATGGTTAGCTGGTACAGATTATCAACACTCTATACTAATATCACCAAACCTTGCCCTTGCAGACTAAGATCTTTCTGAAGATTGTAATTTGATATTCATTTTTTCCTATAATTTAACCCTGACTTGGATTTCATTTATATTTTATTCTCAAACTGGATTTTTTTTATAATCCTTTTTGTTTGTTTGTTTCTTGAAACAGGGTTTCTCTGGGTAGCTTTGGAGCCTATCCTGAAACTCGTTCTGTAGACCAGGCTGGCCTTGAACTCACAGAGATCCGCCTGCCTCTGCCTCCCAAGTGCTGGGATTAAAGGTGTGCGCCGCCACCACCCAGTGTTGGATTTTTTTTTATAATTCTTGAGTATGTCTTACATTACTTCCAGTCTTTTCTCATCTAGCTCTCTCCTGAACTCTTATCCGACAAGTTTAGACTCTTTCAGGCCAGGTTCACATGCTACTTTCTGTAAAGAATCCATCCTGATTCTGCCTCTAAAGTTAAGACAGTCCATCCCCCCGGTCTGACCACGATAGGTATCTTCTGGTATTTGGCTTATTCTGCCTCAAAACACTTCCCTGTCCTCTCACAAAGTTGAAGATAGCAGATCTGTGCAGTACTTACCTCTTTCACCTCCATGAGGCTTAGCCAAAGGCCTTGAACAGTATACAGCAATGGGAAACAGCCATATACTAGGGAATGGCATGGGATAAAGAGGTGAGCCAGGGCCTGAGAGGTGTGGATGCTGACGCTGAATGGCTGGGCAGCTTTGAAGCAGTCAGCTTTTTGTGATTCAGCCTCTACATATGCAAATTGAGACAGCACATATTTCACAGGGTTGTTGTGTAAATTCAACACGAAAATGAATGCAAATGCCTCCCGGTATTGACATATGGTGGCAGCTCCATCTGAGGTAGCTCCATTACAAAATTGATCATGACAGACTGTCACACAGAGGCAAGTTTAAACGAATCCTTGACAGTGGATCATTTCCTCTTAGCAGTTAAGTATCTGAGGGTCACAACGATGACTTCAGTTACAATTAGCTGTTTTCCCAGTATCTGCGGTTTCAGCGAGCTGGTGTCTGGCTTTGTTAAGATGCTCAAATATCCATTATTTCCCTACATTCCTAAATCCTCCAGGTAGTCACCACAACCAGCAAATTTGTTATGGGGACAAAACTTCTCATTGACGAGAGTACATTTTAATATAGCAGTAGAAATTCCAGCTCAAAACCAATCATTACCATGGATCAAACCCTGGGGCTGGGAGATGGCCCAGTCAGTTTAGAGCTTGCCTTACCCGACAGAGACACAGCTAGACATTCATTGTACAAGTGACAGCACCGTTTGAGAGTGACTGGGGGATGAGACATTTCTCAGTGAGAGTCCTTATCCGGGAAGAGAGGAAACGGCATTTTTGTAAATAAAAGCTATTCTTTTAATTTATATTTTCAGGTAGTAGATATTACTGTTGATGTCATTTAGCAAAAACTGCTTCATATGTTCCATACTAACTTGGATTTGAAATATTCACATTCCATCACAGCAGAAACTGATCTTTCAAGGGACAAACCCAAGGTCAAGAAGCTCAAAATCCAGTAAGTGACGAGGTAATAAATGCCACAGAGTGACCTAGGCTTGGTGCGTTGCTGTGGGATGGTCTGTATGGCAAATGTGTTGCCAGTGGCCAGGCAGGAAGTATAGGCAGGACAAGGAGGAGAATAAAGCTGGGAAGTGGAAGGCTGAGTCAGAGAGACACTGCCAGCCGCCACGATGACAAACAGCATATGAAGATGCCAGTAAGCCACAAGCCATGTGGCAAGGTATAGATTAATGGAAATGGATTAATTTAAGCTGTAAGAACAGTTAGCAAGAAGTCTGCCACGGCCATACAGTTTGTAACCAATATAAGTCTCTGTGTTTACTTGGTCGGGTCTGAGCATCTGTGGGACTGGCAGGTGAGAGAGATTTGTCCTGACTGTGGGCCAGGCAGGAAAACTCTAGCTACAGTGCGTATTGATGGGCAAGGGTCTGTGGTTGAACAGAGGCCACAGGCTGACTGAAGGGGCAAAGAGCACCCTCCCCTGCTCATCCCCCAAGTAAAGAAGACCCAGAGCTGCCAGCGCTCCTGAAGACATCTGAGTTCTTTAAGTGAAGCATCTGAATTTTTTGTTTTGTTTTTTGAGACAACGTTTCTCTGTGTAGCTTTGGAGCCTTTCCTGGAACTCACTGTGTAGCCCAGGCTGGCCTTGAACTCACAGAGATCCACCTGCCTCTGCCTCCCGAGTGCTAGGATTAAAGGCGTGTGCCACCATCACCTGGCCAGCATCTGGATTTTTAAAGGCTGCTTTATTTACTTTTTTAACTCTTTGGGGTCAGAGGGGAGGCCATGAACCTGCAATCTGTGTGACTTTTGTACTAGTACACCATAATTACTCTTCATTGTGTTTTTGAATATGAATTCACTCTATTAACCCTAACACACACCCACATTCTCCTTTATAAACCTCCATTCACTCCACTTTTGGCTTGCATTTTCAGTTGTCACCCACCAGAACACACATGTCATTGCCGGATGTACCGACTTAACCCTCTTTGGTTCTTTAGGCTGAATGTGAACTCGTGTATAAAACCTCTATGATCCTCGCCAAGCCTCCCTGGGTACACACGCTACAAACCAACAATAGGAAAAAAAAAAAAAAAAAAAAAAAGGTCGGCGCTGATTTCACTCAAGTCTCACCCATCACGTTGACCAAACAGCGGGAGACAAGAATCAGTCCAGGGGCTCACTGTCACCTAAGTGAAAGGCCTGGAAGCCCCAGGCCAAGGAGGAAAAGTGTTCGAGCACTCACCGCCAAACACATCTCCGTTCTGGTAGTTCTTCCCTTTCTGAGCTTCCTCTTCATTTTGAACAGTGGCAACATGCTTGGCGGAGGCACAGCCCATAGTCTCATTCGGGGAGCTTCAGCCGGGCTGGACTGCAAATCATCGCTACAGACACGGGGACATGCTTCTTTTTCTCTCTTTAAACACAACGGAAATCCACCTCGCTGCTGCTGCTGCTGCTGCGTCGATCACAGTGCCTGCACCTGCCAGAAGAGAAAGCCGGATCAAGAAGGAGACTCCATACCTGGGATTGCTCCCTGCAGGGGTTGGGAGGGGCGGGTAGATCACACAGTCCAATCCCTGGCTTCCACACTCAGTGCTGAAGAAAGAAGCACAATGTGGCCATCGCCTCTTGATCCCTGGCTCAGAAAGCAATGTAGCAAGGCATGCCGCACACAATGCATGCTGGGAAGGAGACATTTTCAAAGAGATGTAGAAGACATGCATTTTTTTCAAGGAACTATTGACTGTCACACAGGGATCCACGGGTTTATGAACTTGCTGATGTTCTGGAACCTCAAAACTTCTTATTTCTAGAGTAAATAAAACACCGTGCCTCTCTCCATCCCTCCCTGCAGGCCAGCGCTCACACAGGTTTTGTTCGGGGAGATCATCTCCCTCCTCAGACTGACTCATAGACTAGGTTATGCATCTGGAGTCTACCGGAGTCAAGAATTAGACTTACTTGTGTAGACTTTGGGCTCAGCTCTCGCTGTTTGAAGGACTGAGTAGAAAAGGTAGGAAAACACACAGCTCGGTCAGTTGTCCAGTTCCTCGCCTTGGCCTCTGTGTGCCAACTGGTCTCTCAGAAAGGCATAAGGACTGCTCATGAGTAAGTCACGCAGACCTAAACCTCACTCTCCTGAGGTGAGATTCCCTTCCCTGCCACACTGATGGTAGCTGCCCCAGATTCCCAGGGTTGGCTGTGCCCAGTGCTCTGATATTTTCATTTTGTTTTGTTCTTGCTGTATTTTTATCAGTCTTATCCAGCCATTCTAGTCCTGCGAATGAGGAGCTACAATCGTGAAGCTGTTTCTGTTAAAATATCTCTTATCTGCCCCACCCCTACCCCTTACCAACATAACCCCTACCTCCTCAAGCCCCTTGGCAGCACCAACAAAGTACCATTCTTCTTTCAACCTTCACCAACACCCACATCCCACCATTTCTGCTTTGAACCATTGAGCCTGTCAAGTCTCACAGATGGGGCTGCCGAAACATAGCGAGCGGCAAGCTTCATTTTCAACAAGACTGCCTGGGCCCTTCTTAGAATGCAAAGGACATCGATGGGTATAGCAATCTGATCATTTAAGCCATAAAACCCCAGCAAAGAGCATTTTCCCAACAACCTGACTAATTTAATAAATGAGAGTAAATACAAAGGTAGTGGTCCAAACAATAACTGCAATAAATATTATGACTATAATATATACTATGACATATAATATTATGATAATAAATACTAGGTTGCCTGTATATAATCCCTCAAGATTATTCTCTTATCACTGATTGTGAGAAGAAAGTATAAGGCTGCTTACAGAAATATTACCAACCATGTTTTGGCATTAACTCTCTAACATCTCCTTCACATATCAAGTCACCTTATGTTAACACATTTTCATCTTCTTAAGGCTATATGAAATCTAGGTCTATGGGTGAACACACTAATACGCATACACACAAGCTATTCTATTACTTAGCGGTTATGTCTTTGAAACAATTATATGCCTCAGGAGCCTGATGGGGAAGAGCTTCTGACAATAAAAAAGAATATCCACACACAATAAGGGCTGTGGTAGAACCTACAGCAATGTAGAATTCAAAAGAGTAGGTCAAATTCGGACTGGGTGGGGGCAGCGACGAGACAGAGGAGGTGGTATTTCTGTGCGGTAGTGAAGATTCGGTAGAAACAGTGACGGCATACAGACATGAGGAGCAGCTGAGTAAGAACCGGGCTAAGGAAAGACAGAGCACATGTGTGCATTTGCTCCAGGAGGGTCGGGGCAGGAAGAGGCTGGCATGGCTGGTGCTTTGTGAAGAGCCTGGAGAAGGCGGAGCTTGCCAACTCCATCCAGCTTAATAGAGTTAGTATCATCATCACCGGAGGGCTTCCTGCGAGATATATTAAACCAGCAGCATAGTTATCCACTCTGCCTACCTCGTCTAGTTTCTGAACAATCATCACTGAAAGATGAGCCTGGTTTCTATGGGGAGGAGAAAGGAGGTGAAAAACCCTCCCCAGCCCACAGCAGGGGAGTTCTTGCTGTTCTCCTCCCTGCCTGCGCTGCTGTGGTTTCTGGTTTCTGTGGGCACTTCCTTGGGCCAGCATCTCCTCCATCTGCATCTCGGCAGCCAAGGGGAAGGTCACAGGTGTGGAGGGAAGCCCCCTCCTTTCCAAATAGGAAGTCTACAGGCAGACCACCTCCCACAGGCCCAGGGAGACAACCCACTCAGACAGGAACCTCTCCTTGCCTCCTGTCCCCTCTTCAGAATCAAGGCAGTGAAAACAGGAGAAAGGAAGGGGAATGAACTAACCCAGTCACCCAGGAGTCCTGAGGAGGGAGAGACAACTCATCACGTCCTCTGTTTTGTTTTGTTTTGTTTTTCATTCTAATTTGCAATTTGCAATTTCACGCTTCCTGTGTAGTTTCTCACCAAGACTGAAGCCTCACTCCTGCCCAGGTGTGTATGTTTCCAGACCCTCAACAGATGCAAAGAGAGTAGAATCAATGCTGCATATGCTATGTTTTCCCTTAGATATTTATTTGTGATAAAAAAATTTACAAATCAGACACTGTGAGGGAGTGGTGGCGATTATTAATAAAAACAGAACCATTATACGGCGCTAAAACGCACGTGAATGTGTTATTCTCTTTGGAACGAGTCAAGAATATTAGTATCTTCAAGGACTTCAACTAACAAAAACCATGGAAGCAGAAGCCACAGGTTTAGAGACCTCTGCCATGTCAGAACCTCTGACAGGAAAGAACCTTCTGACCCTGAGAAGCGTTTCACATTGTTTCTCATTCATAAAAGCTGTGCTTAAGTTAAAAATGTACTTGGATGTAAAAAGTTAAGGTTATATGAAAAAGAACATGTTGCTTCAGGCTAACAAAGATAAAACAATGTAAGATGGTTTTTAAAAGGATGTCTCTACTATTCAAGTATTGGAGTGAGGGTCAGGTTAATAGGTACAGTAGACATAATTTATATCCAATTCAAACAATTCCATAGGAAGTTGCAGTTTAGTTAGATATATATTTAGTATATATCATATCAGGTGATATCAGAGAGAAAGAGAGAGAGAGAGAGAGAGAGAGAGAGAGAGAGAGAGAGAGAGAGAGAGAGAGGGAGGAGGGGGAAGGGGAAAGGGGAGGAGGAAGAGGTGAGGGAGAGGGGAGAGAGACCTTGAACTCCTGGGCTCAAGTGATCTTCCTGTTTCAGCCTCTCACGTAGCTAGGACTGTGGCATGAACCACCACCTCCAGGTAATCATGTTTTAACAAGCACTGTAACTAAACAGGGGCTCGCTCTCCATCATCAGTGTAGAGTTTATTTTTGAAATACACCATATTATATAGCTTACAGCATTGATTTGATTTCAAAAGTGACATTTTCAAGTTTTACAATCTTATTAGAAATATATTTTAATAAGTTTACCCCGTTGGTGGTGATGGAGTCCTTTGAGGGGCAGATCCAATTCATAAAGTTAATCATGCACGGATCACCGAAGAAAAGTTTTGACTATGTCATAAGCACTTGTCCAATCATTCAATCATTTAATTAGCAGTTGTTAATTGAAAACTCCTTAGTAATAGACTGTGATTGGTAGGTACCAAGCACACAATGATAAGCAAGATGAGATAAGATTTTCCTCTCTGCCTCCAAAGAATATAAGTGATCAGTGAAGGAGGTAATTAGACCAGTTTCTGAGCAAGCAATGTGATCCAGCTACTGTAGACGAAATACAGGGTGTTCACTGCAGGGGCACCCAACTCGGCTTTGAGAAAGTGAGTCTAGAGAGCTGTTGGGGCTGAGACCAGACCACAACTAAGGAGCCATCATTAAAACACCTTTGAACTGCATAATCTTTTCTACTAATGTGCCATGTCAAGGATTCATCTCCACTTAACGATTCTTTCACTCAACCTAAATTCAGCTTAGACTTCCTTCAGAGCAAACTTGAAGAAATGTCTCCCTAAAGACTGCTAGAATCACCTGCTCAGGAAAACTCCCCTTCAGTTTGGACCTTCACATACACACTAGCTTCCTTTCAGCTTCCAATTATTTCCTCCTTTCGCTTTGCTTGGGTTCCTCCCCGCCCCCAACCTGTCCTACTCATTTATAAATGTCTCTGAAACCACAGCACTCAGAGGCAAGGCTCACGGTGCAAACCAGCACGCAGAGTTCACATTTTCACATATCATTATTAACAGCATGCTACTGCTTGAAGTTGCAGATCACAGTGTGAGAACTGAACTGAAGCATCTCTTTGAAGTTTGATGGGCACTTCTAAAAGTGACTCACAGGTTGATTTGTTTTCAAGCTAAATAATCTATGAGATAGGACCATCAGGCATCTCAGAAAACACAGAGCCAAATTAATTGCTTATGGCTTTGTGTATAATTCTCCCCAGATGACTAGGAGCCTACAGAAGACGTGCAATGTCCTCAAAATGTGGAAACCACATACCATGACCTAACCTAATCGAATGCTACCTTTATAGACCATTTCCCCATTTTTTTTTTTTATAAAATGCATCAGCAGATCTATAAACCCAATTCAATTTTTTTATGAAGGACTTAAAAGATGTGTGACCATGAGTGTGCATCCTTTCCCTACACCCTGACAGAAGGCTCTTGCAACATCATAAGGAGCATTATTACTCCATCTTAACTCATATATACCGTGGGAAATTCTGTCTATGTGCACACCTATCCCATACTGCATAAGTGAGCCCTCTTAAAAGGAAAAACAGGAGAGTCAGGGTTTCATTTTAAAAATCACTTTCATAAAACTGAAAAGTAAAACAATAAAGATTCTATTTTTGAGGAAAACCAAAGCAACAAATGATCTTTTTGTTTAAACAAAAAGGCTAAAGATTTCTGATTACATAATGTTATAGGTAACCTTATCTCCCACTACTTAATCAAAGGCCTTTTCATTTTGGATAAAAATGCCAAAGTATTTGAGACAATTTTCTT